TGTAATAGTGTTGTATGGTGACAGACGGTAGCTGCACTGGTGGTGAGCACAGCATAATGCATAGACTTGTCAAATCACTATGGTGTACACCTGAAACTAAAATAACACTGTGTCAACCCTATTTTAAAAGGAAAAAAAAATTTTTTTAATGTTTATTTTTGAGAGAGACACACAGAGGGGAGAGGCAGAGAGAGGGTGAGACACAGAATCTGAAGTGGGCACCAGGCTTTGAGCTGTCAGTATGCATAGAGTCTGACGCAGGGCTCAAACTCACGAACAGTGAGATCATGACCCTAGCAGAAGTTGGACACTTAACTGACTGAGCCACACAGGCACCCCTCAAAAGAAAAAAATTTTTTAAAAGATTACATAGTGTGTGTATATATATGTATATATGTGTGTATATATACACACATTGATATCCATACAACAATGGAAAACTACTCAGCCATAAAAAAGAATGAGATCTTGCCATCTGCAAAATATGGATGGACCTAAAGGGTATTATGCTAAGTTTAAATAAATCAAAGACAAATGCCAAATGATTTCATTTATATGTGGAATCTAAAAGACAGAACAAGGGCGCCTGGGTGGCTCAGGCGGTTAAGTGTCTGACGTTGGCTCAGGTCATGTTCTCGTGATTTGTGGCTTCGAGGCCCAAGTTGGGCTCTGTGCTGATAGCTCAGAGCCTGGAGCCTGCTTCAGATTCTGTCTCCCTCTCTCTCTGCCCTTCCCCTGCTCACACTCTGTCTCTGTCTCTGTCTCTCTCTCTCAAAAATAAACATTAAAAAAGTAAAAAAGTAAATTAAAAAAAATAAAAGAACAAATGACCTTTTGATTGCTTTTTATTCTAATTTTCTAGTTATATTTTAAATGTCTTCACTTTCTCTTTTCTTCTATTAAAAAGATATTAATTATTTAAAAATATTTGTTTATAAACTCTAATAAAAGCATCATCTATGGAACTGCTTCCATTATTTTTCTCGTGATTATTAGTCACATATTGCTGTCTCTCCATGTGTCTAGCAACATATGCCTCTCTGTTTCTTCAGCAACTTAACCATTTTTCCTCTACTTGTATCGAGAGTATTGGCCGGCTGTGACTTAATATCTCTTTCTTGGAAGTAGATGTCTTCCCTTCCTCCTAGAATTTTTTTTCTTTCATTGTAGGAATACTAAGTTATCATTGCTCCCATTTATTGAGAAAACTGCTTGAATGTTGGATACTATTGGTTATTCTGTTCTTAATTTCATTTTTATCATAAGATTACATTACACTAGTACCTGAGCTGCTCCAAAGCCATCCAGCCATTTTCTTTATTGAAAATAGTGATCAAGATGATCCTCCATAAGGCCAGTATCAATGGCACCAAAGCCACATTAAAAATAATTTTTTACCAGAAATTCTTAAGAATACACATGCACACAAAAACCTATGCTGTAGTAGAAAGAGCATAGAATTTAAAGAAAGAAAACCTGGTCTACACCTCATCTCTGTCACTTACTAGGACAGTGACCTTAGACAAATAATTTTTGTACTTTGAATCATGATTTTCAATTCATTAAGTTGCTGTGAAGACAAAACAATGTATTTTGTTCTTTTAATGTTTATTTTTGAGAGAGAGAGAGAGAGAGAGAGAGAGAGAGCATAAGTGGGGGAAGAGCAGAGAAAGAAGGAGACACAGAATCCAAATCAGGCTCCAGGCTCTGAGCTATCAATATAGAGCCTAACATGGGGCTCGAACCCACAAACTGTGAGATCATGACCTGAGCCAAAGTCAGACGCTTAACTGAGCCACCCAGGTGACCTCAAAACAATATATTTTAAAGACCTCTGTAAATTATAAACACATTTTAAGATGTCTTACGTAATATTATTATCTAGTTTCTAAATCTACAGATCGCTATAAATTAAACAAATACAGAGACACAGGTATAATAGATATGTTGATAATAAAAACTGACAACTAACACCAAAGGAAGAGTCAAAAACTATTTTAAAAGTACCAATTAGAACTAAGGGTGAGTTAGTCAGTATAGCCTAAGTAGCCTCTACATATTTCAATGGACCCTGAAGCTATTAGTCTATCTTGACATGGTACAGTAATTGGTATTTATGATAAGAAGCTTGAATTTTAAAGTAAATCATATCCTGGGCACCTAGATGGCTCAGTTGGTTAAGTGTCCAACTCTTGATCTTGGCTGAGGTCCTGATCTCATGGTTCATGAGTTTAAACCCTGCATCAGGCTCTATGCTGACAGCCTGGAGTCTGCTTGGGATTCTGTCTTTCCTTCTCTCTGTCCCTTCCCCACTTGCACTTTCTCTCTCTCAAAATAAATAAACTTAAAAAAAAAAGTAAGTAATCATATCCTTTATTATTACTATTAAAATAAAGTATTATCTAATAAACTTTAGAAAGACTGCAATCAAAAATTACTAGAGTCTCTCCTAGGAACTTCCACTAAGTTACAGCACATTTGAATGGTTTATTTCAACAATATTTGCTTATGGAAATAAAAGGGAGTGATGGGGGAGGGGGAGGGGTGGAGGAGGGACTTGAGAAAGAGGGAGGCTAGACCACAGCATCAGTAACCTTGTGTGATGTGATCATTAACCTTTCTGGTAAATGCAGCTGGCAGTTCTCTGAGGTTCCTCATTAGAATATGAGGAAAGCCACACAGATATTGAACAGACTATTCAAAGATTATTTCATTTACACTGAGAGCTATTACTCTGCTTCCATGTAGCAGAAAAATGAGGTTACAACAATTCTTTTTTGTATTTTTTATTTTTGTGATAAGTCATCTTATCAACGGACAGAGACCAGCTAATTTGGCAATGAGAAGAAAATCAAAGCAGATATAAGCCTCTCCATTCACAGGTGCCCTTCCCCCAGAGATCTTCTCTAGCTAACCTCACCTGGTCTGCCAGAAGAGGCGTGAAGGAAAGATATTCACCATAGTGTGACTGTTTAGAAGTTCCTGTATGAAAAGGAATAATTTGAAAGCACTTGTGATGTTTTATTAGTTTTACAGGATTCTCTTTTTCCTGGTTTCTCTTGAGAGGGGAAAATAACATGAATTCAAAAGCAATTCCAGTCTGAAGCACAACTATTTGCTTGCATAACAAAAATCTCTCATCTTTTTCTACATATTAATAGTCTTAAATGAGTTAAAAAGAAAAATACTTTTTAATGTTTTAGAACTCTCTAGTAATAAAAAATACAAGAAATAAAATTTTTCTTTCATATTCCTCTAATTCTCCAAAGTATTAAAATAAGTATTTAGATGTTTGAGTCATTTTTTTTTCAAAAATGCTAAATCTGAAATCAAATGCATTGACCATTTGGTTTTACAGAATAGGGATAAATTAATTGGTTCATCAATTATTTATATAGACAGACTAAGGAAGAAGCTATTAACTGCTACCAATTTTATATTATAGGCATTAATGTTTATGAAAGTATTTTTTAAATTTTAAATAATATCCATAAAGTTGTAAAAGCAAGTTTGAAATACTAACTGAAATGATCATTTCTGAATCTATCTCTCATTGTGTAATTATAAGAAACCAATGTTTGATTTCCTCTGAAGTCCTGTTATATCTTCCCAAGTTGTTAAATACACTCTTAATTTGTATTTATTGAAAGACAGCTCAATGTGATAAAGTTTTTATTTTCCTTTAATTCCAGGTACGAACTTTACAAATTCTTTTCCTATTTAGAAATTTTGCTTTGTAAACATTATAGAGCTGGAGAAGCCATAACTCATTAACCCTTATTTTGTTAGAATAAAAGGTTGGGATTGGTATACTATAAAAAAAATTACTAAATTTAAATTCCAGTTGGGTAATATACACATGGATTAGTTTGTACTGAGGAGCCAAAGCCTTTCTATCATGGGATCTTAGAATGGGTAAGGTTCTGAATACAATGAGGATCTGCATCATTAATTCACTTTTACAAATGGAAAATTTTGTAAAAGTATCATTTTATACAAGTTAGAAGAAAAAAAGATGGCACCTGGGTGGCTCAGTTGTTTAGGCATCTGACTTCGGCTCAGGTCATGATCTCACGGTGTGAGATGAGAGTTTGAGCCTCACACTGGGGCTCCTCTGCTGTCAGCATGGAGCTTGTTTTGAATTCTCTGTACCCTTCTCTCTCCGCCCCTCCCCTGTTTGTTCTCTCTCTCTCTCAAAGATAAAACAAACATTAAACAAAAAATTATAAAAAAAAAAAAAAGAATAAAAGAGACTGTGGTTAAAAAACGATTATGGGAGGGGGTGAAATCAACATACTAGGTAGGAGTGCAAGAGGCAAAGGGAGAGACAAGATGACTACATGGAGGACAGGTCAGAGAGCACATGTGGCACAGAGTTCCCAAGAGCAAGAATCATTTGAGGGAATGCTAAAGAATGGGAGAGCTGGGTTGTGAAGTAGTTAATACACCACACTTTAGTGATATTTATAAAAATTAATACAGGAAATAGTATAAATGAAATAAAACTGGACGAAAAATACTTGTAAAAGTGTATTTACGGATGAGTTAAGGACATAACTACAGAGTTCATTACAAAAAATACTCAGAATATCAGGGTTACCCATGAAAAGACAAGATTTCAAAAAGTACTAGATATAGGAAGTCAAGAACCAGAATGAAAAACAGGTACATGTTCTAATGTAAAAGAAGAAAATCAGTATCTTGCTATTGTTGAAATGGAGATAGTACCAGGATCTTTTTCACAGGTTCTGTTACCATTTCCCTAAAACTTTAAATGTGTTAGGTCAAAACTAAGAGTCATTTTATCTTGTATTAAAAGTCTGCACAGGCGAGGCAAAAGTGGTCTAATTTTTGTGTGCATGATTTCATTATGTGATAAGTGTTACTGTTTGCTAAGCAAAAGGTATATCAACCAAGTCCTAAATTAGTAATATCTAAAAAGACTTCTGAAAAGACAATTTTAAAACTAATTGAGTAATCTTATGAATAAACCACTATACCTTAGCAAGTGATTTTACAATAGGATTCTCCATAATCCCCTTGAGGAAAATAAGGTCTATTTCTTCTGCTCCTGTAGATGAGGGCAGCTCTGTAAGGTTATCCAACACTTGCTGCATTGCTGCTAAGATAAAAGCAAAAAACAAAACAAAACCAAAAAAACTTAAATTACAAGCCATTATGAAATATAATTATAAAATAAGATATATTTTATATATGTAAAATAATTTAAATAAAAAGACATTAACAATTAACACTCTTTTGAAAAGTTATGTTTTAATAAAATGAGTTCTTAAATGCTGTAAGTTTCAAGTTGAATTCCCACGAGGACCGTGTTTTGTATGCCATTTGGGCTTTATCAGACTACCTTATACATACTTACCACTTTGCAGTTGCTTTATATATTTTTTTAATTTAAAACTTACTCAAGAAGAAATACAAAATTTTAATAGATCTATAAAAAAGTAAAGAGATGGAATTACTAATACAAACTTTCCATAAGCCCAGAATTAGATGGTTTCACTGGTAAATTCTATCAGACTTTAAAGAGGAATTTAAAACAATACTTCACAAACTCTTCAAAAAAAAAAAATAGAGGGAATACTTCCCAATTATTCTATAAGATCTTGATACTAAATCCACAAAAAAGTATCACAAGAAAATTACAGTCAATATCCTTTATAAATATAGATGCACAAATCTTTAATATAATACTGGCAAACTAAATCCAGCCACATATGAAAAGGACTGTACACCATGACCAAGTACAACTTATCCCAGGAATACAAGAGTGGTTCATCAACAAATAAAAGTCAATCAGTGTAATACACTGTATTAAAAGAACAAAAAACAAACAAACAAAAAAAAAAACATGGTATCTCAAGAGGCACAGTAAAAGCATTTGACAAAATCCAAACCCTTTTCATGATAAAAATATTCAACAAACCAGGAACAGAAGGGAAATTTCCAAACTTCATGAAAGGTGTCTATGAAGAATCTATAACTAACATGATACTTAATGGTGAAAGACTGGATGCCTTCCCATAAGATCAGGAACAAGGCAAGTGTGTCTACTTTTGCCACTTCTATTCAACATTATAGTGGAGATTCCAGCCAGGGCACTTAGGCAAGAAATAAAAGGCATCCACACTGGAAAGAAATAAGTAAAACTATCTATTGTTGCAGATGATAATACCTGGTATATAGAAAATCCTAAACTATACACACAAAAAATTATTGAGTTCAGCAAGGTTGCAGGATACAACCCGAAAATACAAAAATCAATTGTATTTCTAAATATTAACAATGAATAATCTGAAAATGACATTATGAAAACATTCTTTTTACAAGAGCACTAAAACAATAATTACAAATAAATGCAACAAAGGAAATGCAAGATTTATACACTGTAACTATAAAACATCATTGAAAGAATTAAAGAAGACTAAAATAAATAGAAAGATACCTTATTTCCATGGATTGGAAGTCTTAATGTTGCTAAATTGGCAAACTGATCTACAGACTTAATGCAATCCATGTCAAAATCTCTGCTGCCCCCTTCCCTTTTATTGCAGAAACTGATAAGCTGAATGTTATAAAGTTGTCAAACATTCCCAAACTAATTTGTACATTTAATGGAGTTCTAATCAAAATGCAACAGACCCTCCCACATGTTTTCAGGCCAGGTCTGGCTTGTTCCCCACCTCCCCCCCACCTCCCTCCCATAAGGAAATGGCCAGGGAGTTCCAGGAAACCTGGGCTGATGAGGCAGGGAAGTGGGAAAAACCAATGCAGTTCTCCACAGGTTGGGGAGGCCACAGTGTTCGGCAGTAACTGGTTGTCCTGGGGCAATGTTGTGCTAGTGAATGTCTACAGGAACCTGGTATACATTGTTAGTTTTAGCAAAAAGCAAATCATGTGCTTTACAAGGAAATCTTGAAAAGGACCTCAAGTCCCTTTGGGACCCATGCTCCTACCCGATATTCCACTATTCAGGCTTCATGATATGCAGTATGAACCCTAGCTCCTTGGGAATGATGATGCAAGGCTGGTACAATGGAAACCCAAGGAAATCAGAATTGTTACAACTATCTAACCAGGATGAAAGCTCTCGATGCCATCCATGCCTATGAGATCCCGTTTCAAGCTGAGGCTGGTAACCCCCTTCCATTATGGGTGAGAACTCCCCCCCCCCACCTGCTAGAACTTTGAATCAGTAGTACTCCTTTCATGGAGTACTTGAAGCCCTCAGTGGTACCCTGTTCCTGCTGGATGGCTAGATGGCCCACTATGGGATATGGGTCTGTAGCAAGTACTGAGAGAGTACTTGCTCTAACAGGAGACCCTGACCAAGCTGGCCACCATGGTCAAGGCACAAATTGGGAGCTGTCTGCAACACCAACAGTCAGCAGCTAGAGACCTAACTAAAGTCTCCCCAACAGCCATCATGTACAAAACCTCCTCTCCAATTAGAAAAGTCAACATGCCAAGCACTTCCTTGAATTACAGAACTTTGAGGACAATGTAACACACTGGGGAGTACTCTGATAGAGCTGAAGGACTCTCATTGAAGACTGAGCCAAACAGACTGCAGTGTGCTTGCTGGGCAGGTTCAGACTGGAAGCCAAAGCCTCACTGAGTCCCAAGCTCCTAGAGATCATTCCCCAACCCTTTCTTATAGGCAGTTTCAGAACATCCACTTTGTTTTCCCTTGGTAACACTTTCTCTGGAGTTGAATTCAGATGTTATTTTTAACATTCCTGTCAAGGCTTCCTTAAAAGTCCTCACTTTTTTTCTTGTTCCTTTTTTTTTTTCCCCCTTCTTGGTTTTGATCATAGTTTGTCTGCCTTGTTCCAGGCTATCTAATCCCAAAGGTAAGAGTTGAGATGAAGGGACTTGGTCTCTTCCATGGATTCCCCTTTTTACGTGACTGAATGAGAACCATCTGGGTTTTGGGCATCTTGGAGTAGATTAGTAGGGTAGGCAGACAGAAACTGGTGAAGAAACTGGTGAGGCAGTAGTTGTATATGGAACAACCTACCCTGGTGTTCCAGTTAAACCAGGATGTGGAAACACTAACACAACTTCCCTGACATGCAAGGATTTGCTCTGACACTTTCATTTCATACTATCATGAATAAAATGAATAATGTTCTGAGCTGGCATAATCCCTTTCTCCCTCATGTATTGGGATGCTATGGGATGGTGTGAGGGAATGGTTTCCTCTAAATCAATTCGTTGGTCTGACTTTATAAATTAGTTATCTAATAACATGATCTATTCAAAAAATGCCATTGTTCTTTTTAACAAAATTATCCTCAAAGCATATGAAAAAAATGAGGAACTGTGAGAAAACTGTAACAAAAAGTAATGAAAATTAACCCTATAAAATATTAAAACATAAATTAAACCTATCAAATCTAATGTATGTAAAACCTTAACACATAAAAGAGGAAGCTCTCTATAGTGGGGACCTAGCAAAGTTGAGTGGGAGCCAGGGAAGTAAAGTGTCTTCCTTTACTCAGAGATTCCAGGGATAAAAGAAAACCCCAAAACTCAAAAGTTTCCTACAAGTTCCACTCCTCCTCCATAATCACTATAGGATGGACCCTTTATTCAGAAGCTACATTCAATGAAAAATATAAATGGAATTCTTATTTAAGAGAAAAATATATTGAATATATATATTCACATATAAACATATGTGAATATATATATTCAATGACATATATAAATGGAATTCTTACTTATGACATATATATGACATATATATTCAATGACACATATAAATGGAATTCTTATTTAAGAGAAAAGTATATTTAATCCAGATCATCCCATTACAAAAATGAACAAATCAAGAATCATCAAACACTTACGAAAGCTAGCAGCATGAATATGACTCACCAAATTCAACAAACAGAAACATTAATTGCCAAAGAAACAGAATTACTGGGGTGGGAAGTGGGGAGGAGAAAGAGTAAAAGAAAGAAAAAAAAGATGAAATTATAATGTGTAGGAAGATCAAACTGAAAAATTCTCCCACTAAAATTTTTCTTTATGAGAAGAAAAACATAAAAAAAAAAAACTGCTGTGGATCACAAAGACCAAAATTTACAAGATGATGGGAAATTCATTAATAGACAAAAGGAATTAATAAAAGGGAAAGCAGCAATCGATAAAAAACAAAACATAATTTGATCAATAAGCTGGCTCTTTCAAAAGACCTATAAAAATAGATAAGTGCTTGGCTAGTCTGATTAAGAAAAGACATAAGTAACACTAGGGATGCAATGAGAAAGTAACTGCAGGCAAAAAGAAGATTAAAAAGAGAATGTAATAAACAACTTTATTTTAAAATCTAGTTAAGTAGAGATTTTTCCTGGAAAATGTCAACGACAGAAGTGTAGGAGAAAAAGATAAAAATAGAAATAGATTATAATAGAAGAAACTGAAAAGGTTTTCAAAGATCTACCTTCTTAAAAAGACACAGGCCAGGAGAGATATAAGAATAAATTCTATCAAACCTTCAAGAAAGAGCTACTTCACATTTTTAAAAGAAAGTATAGAAAGGACTGAAAGCATTCCAACTTCAATGCAGATTTCAAAACTCAAAAAAGAAATGATATATTAAACTAACGAGCATATATGCAAATACCTTAAACAACGTACTAGCAAATTTAATCTAACAAGGTCTTAAAAAGTAACAATAGCCAAGTAGACTTTATCCTATTAATATAAAGATGACTTAACATTAAGAAAAATATAATGTAATTTGTCACAGTATAAGAAAACCCTATCATCTCAATGTTTTGAATACAGCACATCAAATAAAATTAAAAACCTAATCCTGATGGAAAACTGCTACCATAATAAGAATAGAAGAAAGTCATTCTATACCAGAATCTATATGAACTATCATACTTAATGGAGAAATGGCAAAGGCTTTACCATTAAAGTCAAAGATAAGACCAGAATGCCCACTCAGGCCAGTACTTTTCAAAGCTATATTGTAAGTTTTAACCAAGGTATTAAGACATGACATTTTAAAAAACTACAGATGTTAACTATCTACTTGGAAAAGTCTCAAGGAACCAGCTAAAAAATTATTTAAGTCAGGAGT